GTCTGTATGGCGGACTACTTAAATTAGACAATGACTAAAGTTGTACATGTGGCTTGTTGTATACTCATCATGTAACTATAAAATCTTAGGAGACTACTCACGTGGTAGCTCCGTAATAACAAATTAATAAAATCTAATCAGCAAAGGAAGCCACCTTAATAATAATAAAAAAAAATAAAATGATTTGTCATTTCAATAACCAACAATGAAGGTTCTCTGCTCATTACTTAAGAAGAAGCTCAAATAATTCTCTTTTTGAAGCTTTGGATATAGTTTAAATAGAGAACAGAAGGTATTTATCAATAATATATTATTTTTAGCAATAATAATATATATTAAGCTAAACAATACTCTTTCCAATAATCACTTGAACTATATGTGAAACAAACTTTTATTATTCAAAAAACAATAATGTAGTCAATATTTTTAAAAAATACATAGTAATCTTAGTAGAGAAAATAGTGCAAGGTATATCTTGATTAGTTTGATACTAGTTTATAGATACAAGTAACATATCCCTTCATACGTTATACAAGCAAATTTGCCTGCAAAATTGAATTTTTAGATTATAAAAAAAAATCTATACTAAAGATACTCCTTCTAAAATTACATATATTATTTGTCTAGTTTTATATTATATACAAATAAATACTAACTAATACGAAATGCATTCACAGTAACTATATACTAATTAAAGATTGGCAATTGTTCTAATTACTTATCATAGTAGTAATGACTTATTATTTATACTATGTACGTGGTATATTTGGTACCGATTAGTTAGGTTTTAATCGATCAGGTTCATGTGAAGGGAGAGATTAAGTATTTAAAATAATTGGTGAATCAAGCCATATGAGTATGCTATATTAGTTGAATCAGTAAACTATGCAAGTAGAGCTTATCGTAGTTTGTGCATAATCATGCATGTATATATACCATAAATTTGTATTATGGCGTTGCATAAATAAGAGAAAGGCGTGAGTAAGTTAAATGCTTTTTCTCACATACTAAATAATCAAAAACCAAATATAAACCTTTGTAACTCATCTTATGAGATCATGATGGTGTTATGTAAATAGCGAACCTAGCAGAAGTAGTCTCATATATGCTATGAGTACATATAGTTACTCTAGTTACAGGTCAACTCAAGTTTTGTCATGTTTGTATTTTTAAATCGAATTATTTATTAGTAACTTAATTGTTTAATTAATGTTAAGAGCTGAAACAAGTTACTAAAACAAAACAAACCAAACCAAAAAAAAAAATAAAAAAAAATAAAAAAAAAAATAAAAAATAAATAATAAATATCGATATTTTTTTTAAAAAAAAATTATATATACTTCCATTAATTTAAACAATCGTGAGTTTTTTATTTTTGATTTTACTTTCAAATTTATTATTTAATAAATTAGGAGTTTTTTTTTAGAGTCTAATGCAAGAAAATATTGAAGATTTACCTGATAAATTATCCGACAAATATGTTGTCTCATTTATTTCACGAAGGTTATCCAGAAATTATACAGAAGATGAGTTTTTGGAAAGTATTAATAATCTAGATGATTTTGCTGAAATAGATAATATTAGTGTGGAGCTAGAACAAATCTTTATTAGTGAAGAAAATAGAGAGAGAGGAGGTAGTAGAGGGTAAGAAGAAAAAAGAGGTTATAGAAATAAAGGTGAAAAGAGTTCAGAAAGAAAGGCTACGATTTCTGCTCAATTGCCTAAACTATCTAATTTTAATGTTTTAGTTTATAGTATACCTTATCATAAAGGTTATGTAACATTACCATGAATTTATCCTGATTGTGAAGTTTCTCCATACGGTTTAATTGGGCTTTTTTTTTCACGTAGTATTCTTACTACAATCGTAACAAATACAAATAAATATGAACAAATAAAAAATGCTAGTACAGTTGGATGAGTATGGGTACTATTAACTTTAGATGAATTAAAAATTTAGATAGGAATTGTTGTATATATGGAAGTTATTAAATTACTAAGAGTAGGTTTGGTGATCTTAGTGTAGTGGTTAGGTTGCTGGACTGCCATGCAAAAGGTCTAGAGTTCAAATCTCACTGTCAACAGAATTGAATAATTACCTAGACATCTATATCCAACTTACGGTAAACTCTGCTCGTTTCTGAGGTCGTAACCCTGTAAATCATGTTGTACCAATGCCAATCGGGGTATTGGAAGTGTGATGGGGCATTGGAGAGAGTGTAACGTTACATGAATAAATCTTGATAGGATCTATGAGCAGAGGACCTGCATAGTAGAAATCCCGAGTTAGGTGAAGTAGTATAGATTTCGATAGTCATACCGGTTAACGTCTAATCTAGGAAAGGAAATCTGCGTATAAAAAGATCAGCAAAATAGATACGAGTAAGTCCTGAGTACAGAAGGATCGATGAAACAGGTGCGAGTAAGTCCATTACACGAGGTCATACGGCAATACCAACCTGGCTTGGCGGCTAACTGGATTTGGGAGGATCTGTCTCGTGTAATATCCGGCGGCAAAGTAGGCAACACCAAGCAACAGATTTAGGAAGATCTACTTCATGTGATATCTGGAGGCACAGATGACTAACTTGGTGGAAGACCACGGTAGGAACCAGGTTTGTACGAACATCGAACAAGGGTATATGCAAGCTAGATTGGGATATAGTGTAGCATATTTGGGTACCACAGCACCCATCGATTAGAAAGTTGGCGAAGAGATACCTGAGATGGGCCTAGGCTTCGAATCATAAAGTTTGTGGATTCATGTCAGCTCTGTTAATATCTTCCGAATATGGAAGTAGTACAGGGTTAGGTGAATTTAGGTAATAAATGATAGCGGGATAGAAATGGCATATAGCCAGAGAGTTTAAATAGGGAATTTTCAAATAAATTTCAGGTATGGCAGCTAGTGTAGAACCTTCGGGTGGACTACTTAAATTAGATAATCTAAAGTTGTACATATAGCTAGTTGTACTCTCACATATGTAATCATTGTTCAAAAACTATCTATACTAATAAAAATCTCGCCGATAGCATGTTTATCAAGTAAAAAAAAAAAAAAAAAAAAAAAAATTACCAAGAGTAACTGATTATTGGTCAACTGATTCTAAGTATCCTAAACATAGCATTATACAAGAAATGACAATAATTCAGTTTCAGCAAATTAAATGATATCTACATATTTCAGATCCTAGTTTAAAAAATTCTTATTGGTATAGTAAAGTTGAACTACTTGTATTACATATTAGAAATATTAGCAAGCAACTTTATGTACCTAGATTACATGTATCAGTTGATGAAATGATGATTCATTTTTCAGGGCGTAGTGGTCATACTTTTCGAATAAAAAATAAATCTATTCCTGAAGGGTATAAAGTTATATCCTTATGTGAAAAAAGGTATATTTATACATTTACTTTTGAATCTCATATTACAGATAATAAAGAAATTATAAATATTCCTGGTCTTAATAAAATAGGGTCTCTTGTGTCATATCTTGTTACTCAATTACCAAATAGACGTGCATATGATATATATATGGATAATTATTTTACAAGTATTCCACTTTTTTATTATTTGAGAACAAAAAGATACAGAGCTTGTGATATAGTACGAACAAATTTCTCATTATTTCCTAAAGTACTAAAATTTGAAAAATCAATTCATTTAGATTAAAATATTTTATCTGGCATAGTTGTGAACAATGTTTTAGTAATTTTATAGATAGATAATGGTTCTGTTTATATGCTTTCAACTATTTATGGTATTAAAGGTGATGAATAGAAAATTATTACAATACGCAGAAAACTACGAATAACTAGTACAAATGCAATAAATGTATGAAAAATTTTTGGCGAAACATCACAAAAAGAAATTCCTATACTGAAAGTTATTGATGACTATAATCACTTTATGGGTAGTGTCGATACAGCAGATCAACTTCGATCATATTATAACTGTCAACTTACTTCTTTGCATAACTAGTTGCCACTTATGTTTTGGTTAATTGACACTGCGATTGTAAACTCTTATATTATATATAAACAAAAAGGTAATTTTTAATTAAATATATAAATAAATTAATTTATTTTTATTAACAAACTATATATTATATTTATAGGTAGAATTTTAAGTTATGAGAAATTTCGTTTACAAATTGCATAAGATTTTATTAATGAGGCATTAAGTGAAAATCAAAAATTTAAAAACAAAAAAAGTTCTAAAGTCAAATTGTATGAAAATCTCACTTCAATTGTTAGTAAAAATTTTAAGTTGCCAGTAATTTGGCTTTCAGGTATAAATCATTATCCTGAATAGAGAGATAATTGTATTGCATGTGTATGGTGCTGATAGGAAGCCAAAATTGGTAATATTCAAATTGATGAAAAAAATCCTCTGCAAAGCCAAATTTGGTGTACTCAATGTAATGTTGCACTTTGTTGTAATAAGTCTCATAGTTTATGTTTTAAAAAATATCATACATATATTGATAATAAATAAATAAATATATATGTATAAATAATTTGTATAAAAAATTGGGTTTTCTATATTTTGTAAGTAATTATAGTATATTATGACATGCTCGTAATTTATCATGCTCAAATGGTCAGAATTGACTAATTTTGCTACTATTCGATTCGTCTCAATGAGACGAATCGAATGGTAGTAATATCATCCAATTCTGATTACTGGATTACAAGATATCATCATTTAACTAAAATATATAATACAGAACAATTGTTGAAATTAATACAAAAATGTTAATAACTTTTGATAGACCATATTTTGTGTTCTAGTTATCAGAATTGGATAATTTTACCACTATTTGATTTGTCTAATCAAGACAAATTAAATGGTAGTAAAGTTACCTGATTTAAACTACTAAATCACAAGATATCACAAGTGCATCATAATTGGTCTCTGCATCACAATTTGCTTTTTTTAATTATATTTTTAAATTAGCAATATCTTGTGTTTTAATGATCAGAATTGGATGTTTTTTATACCATTCGATTCATCTTGATAAAAAAAATTGGATGGTACCAAAATCATCCAATTCTGATCGATATATCATGTAATATTTGCTGTTAACCTTATCTGCTTAATAATAGCTATTTTATCTTATACTATTTGTACATTTTCAAACAAAAAATTTAAACGTTAGAATTAGTTTTTTTTAAATAATTTTAGTTTATTAAATTTAATAATATTTTAAATATAAAATCAATAAAAATATTAGGGACTATATATAGTTAAAAAATTAAAAAAATTAAAATTTTTTATTTTTTTATTATTTTTTATTATAAATTGGTTAATTTTAAATAAATATATATATATATATAATTACAATTAAATCTAATAATTTTTGTTCTATAAAAATTATTTAAGATCAAATTAATAAATATTGTATTAATTAAAATAAAAATATAATAATAATAAAATTTAAAATATTATACAACTTTTTGCAGGCAAATTTGTCTGCAAATCTTTAACAGATGAAGGGATAGTATAAGACTTGGCTTTAGCGAGAAGTAACTATTGAGGTTTTTTAGAAAAATATATTATTTGTTTGTAAACAATAAAAGTTGAAAGTTGAAGAAAAAGAAGAAGAAATACCTACTACAGTACTTAAACTAGGTCAAGTACTCTACTCTCTTTTACTACTATAGTTTTCACAACTACTATTTGCCTTCTCAATTTTTGGTCTTTTTTTCAAATAATTGTAAGGATTTGGCATACCCCATACAAAGATCAATATTATTAACTATTTCTAAATTAGGACATATTTGTTAGTATACTATATTGTATAGGAAAACAATAACATGTAAAATTGCTAAACACATGGGATAATCTATTTGGATCTAATCTTGGAATAAGTATAAATAAAGAGATATATATTTTTACTGTTGTGTAGTATAATATTTTTAACAACTGATGAGAAATTCTTTTTTTTAGATTAAGTTTTTTTCCTTACTTTTTTTCTTTTTTTATATTTTTCTCTTTTCAAATTAGTTTTTTTATATTTGTGACAGGTTTTTCTAATTTGAAATATGTTATAGATCGTAGCTATTTAGATTTATACAATTTTTATTTTTTCTTCACAATAGTTAGACTACATTCTATCTTTTTTCTTAAGGTTATTTAGAATTAAGGATAGAGTGATCTAGCTATAGTGATCTTGATATTGGCTAGTAGTAGCTATCTGTAGATAGGAATTAGGTATATATGTCTGATATACACTTAGTTTCAAGAGGAAAATATACTGCTGCTGCAGATTATACTTGGGCACCATTTTGTAGCTGAGTAAATCTGGAATTGCAACAAAGAGAACAATTCTTAAAATTAGAATCTTTTTTCTTTTTTTCTATATTTGTTTATATATCTTATAATATTTCTCTTAATAAAATGAAGGGTAAGATCGCCTAAAGTTAAAAATATATATATATATATATATATTAAGCTTTAGTTCAAAATTATTTAGATTAATGTGAGAGATAAGAAGTTTATATCGTAGAGTTCGTGAATTAAAAGAGAGAGTAGTAGTGCAACAAGAAACTATTGTAGAGAATATTTCAAAAAGTTGGATGAGAGATTTAGAGTATGAAAAGTTGTTGTGAGAGAGAACTAGGTTGTAAACTTAAGTGTTAAATTAAGAAGATGAAGTTAGAAGAAGGAGGGGTAATAATAATGATG